TGGTTTAACAAATCCGCTGTGGTCGGTGGTTTAACAAATCCGCTGTGGTCGGCGGTTTACTCAAATTCGCGTAGGAAATTTAGAGTGGGGTCTGAGCGGATTAATACGATGTGGTCCGCGATTTTTCATTTCCGCCTAGGTCGGACCAAGGACTAATTTTATACTTCCGCAAGACCTGTACTGTACATACAGTAGTAAGCTACATAGACATATATGAATTCATACTGGAGAAAAAAAACCTTTTAAATGTGATGTTTGTAGTAAATCATTCACCATTCACTAACAGTAGTACTCTACAGAGACATTTCAGAATTCATACTAGAGAAAAAAACCTTTACATGTGTTGTTTGTCGAAAATCATTTACATGCAGTAGTACTCTACAGAGACATATCAGAATTCATAGTAAAGAAAAACCCTTTACATGTGATGTTTGTAGTAAATCATTCACACATAAAAGTGGCTTAGAGAAGAAACATGAGAGTTCATACCAGAGGGAAACCTTATAAATGTGATGTTTGTAATACATCATTTTCTGACAGCTGTACTCTCCAGAAATGAAATGAAATGGAGTTTAACGTCCTACTGTTCTGCTCCTAACCTGGGCTAATGAAGACGGGCCTACGCCATACAGTGTGCAATGAGGGAAATTTTGCCCGGACAGCGGCACTACGGCCTACTCTTATATCGAATTCCAACTGCCAAGGGATCTTTTACGTGCACGCCAATGTGTACACGGGACCTCGGTTTTTCGTCCCATCCGAACGACTAGACAGCTTTCCTTGTCAGCCCCTTCGTCCTGCATCACTGACAAGGGAGAACCACGCCGGAAAATCTGGATGAACTTTCTCGGCCAATGCAGGGATCGAACACCCGACCTCCAGGCTAGCGAGCTAGCGTCTTACCCACTTAGCCACGTGATCCCCACTCTCCAGAAACACAGATGGATTCATATTGATGTTTGTAGTAAACATTTCGTAATAGTAGTACCCTACAAACACACATGTGGAACCCTACAAACACACATGTGGAACCCTACAAACACACATAAGAACTCATACTGGTAAAAAAACCTTTTAAATGTGATGTTTGTAGTAAATCATTCCCAAAGGAGTAGTTTGCTGAAAAGGCACATAAAAATGCTTAAGTGTTTTTTAGAGCATTAGTAACAGCGAAAAAATAAAGTATTGTTAGAGCATATTAAGTAAGCACTTGACACAGTTTTGAATAGAATAAAATTAGTGCAAAAAAATGCTGCATGTCTCATATCCCCCGTTTGCTGGAAAAGGGCCAATATTGTCCCTATCTACAGAAAAGGTGATATTCACAACTGTTCCAACTACAGACCTATCTCATTGCTAAGCTCTCTGGGTAAGGTCTTTGAATCACTTCTTCGGAAACATATCCATAACTTCATTTTAAATGAAATGAAATGAAATGGGATTTAACGTCCTATTGTTCTGCTCCTAACCTGGGCTAATGAAGACGGGCCTACGCCATACAGTGTGCTATGAGGGAACTTTTGCCCGGACAGCGGCACTACGGCCTACTCTTATATCGAATTCCAACTGCCAAGGGATCTTTTACGTGCACGCCAATGTGTACACGGGTCCTCGGTTTTTCGTCCCATCCGAACGACTAGACAGCTGTCCTTGTCAGGTCCCCTGTACTGCACCACTGACAAGGGCCTTCTACTCAAAATCCAATCAATAGGTACGTGTATGAGAGGGAAAACTTACAAACTTATTGTTAGTTACTTACAAAATCGCTCTCAGAAAGTCGTCTTATAAAATAAATGTTCATTAAGTAAATGTTACTCCTGGAGTTCCCTGAGGCTCTATTTTAGGCCCTCTCCTTTTCCTGGTTTATCAGATAAGTTACAGAAACTCCATAGGCTTCCAGTACGAGTGATGGTTCAATTTAAAGCTCTTGTGAATGTGTTTAAATCCATTTATTCTGACACCGCACCCAGTTATTTAAAAGAACTCCATTGGTGAATATACTAAGATGTGGAATGATCTTCCAAAAATCCTTTGTGAGTCCTCTTCCATCCAAAACTTTAAAAAAAATGGTTTTGAAGTGTTTTTTTAGTGAATGTGCTCAGAAACACTCATGTGTAATGAAACAATATATAAATTGAACAACAACAATAATAATAACAAAATAAAATTATGGTATAAATAATAAAAATAAAACTTTTACAAAATCTCAAGTTTTATAATTGTATGTATGTAGTTTGACTTGGACTGTCTGTGGTAAAGTTAATAATATGAATGTCTATGCTGTAGCCATCTGTATAGTAGTTAAGAGTGTATCCGCGAGAAGACCATGCAAAAATCGCAAAAAGTGCTAAGATGGGGGGGGGTCGGAAGTTTTTGATCAAACTTATGGTATGACACCCCCTTGGGGCAAGAGGTAACATGCTGAAGTGGTTACAGTCTGATGTCGCTATAAAGGACTGTACAGGAATTATTCATTTTAGGGGTAAAATTGCGGTTTTCACATGTGTATTTATCACCTTTTTAAAGCACAGACTGCATTCTATGGTGGAATAGCAACCTTCTAATTTTGAACCTGTCTGATACAGCGGGTGGTCAACTTTACCCCAGCACTAATTTGAAAAAAAAAATCAGTACATACTAATTTTGTGTGGACTTGTTTTAGGGTACCATATTCACATTGTCCTTATAGTGCAGAAAAAGATACACTGTAACTTTTTCTTTCATGGTCGCAAGTAGAATTTCTTTGGATGGTTTTGAAGTGCTAAGCACATAGTATCCATAGGTGTAAAAAAAATGACCGGAATGCAACATACTTAAAATATACAGCTTATTGAAAAGTGCTAAAAAAAAGCTTTTGTGATACATTTTTTTGCGAATTTAATTGGAGAAATAAAATTTTTGACTTTTATACGTTTTCATCATATCCATAGCCATTATTTGTACCATGTTGTACTCTATATAAGTGTGTATTTGTATTTATTGTATATTTGGTATTGTCGTATTGTCCCTTTAACATATTTGTCTCTTTAAGATTTCATTTTCAAACAAGTACCGAAAATGGCTACAAAATGTTTAATTTCAGAGCATGTTTCCACTATTCATTTTGGGACACATCCACTGATTTCTACAATACAGAAATGTGGAAGCTTAAATATTAACGGCAACGAAGCCTAATTGCGTCGAAGTGGGTGACATTGAACAGTGTAGTATGGTAGCTACAGCTCTCGGGCACCGTCAGCTGCACCTTCAGGGCCGGATTTAGAATAAGAGAGGCCCTAGGCAAACCCCCTGAACAGGGCCCACGACATGGACCTTGGGGCCCTGGGACAAGCAACTCGGTGAGAGGGTGGGTCGGGGGAAGTCATGCGGTTGGTGGTTCGAATCTCACTTTTAGGTGAATTTTTTCATTTTCGTTGGATTATTTTATTTAAAATAATGTCTATTTGAGAGTAATAGATATGTTTGTTAAGATTGAGCACGTCGAAACTCCAATGGAAGGTCGTAGACAACTGCAGAAGTCAATTCCCGTTGACGCCAGATGAGCCATGAACGATTACAGGCCTTTGAAAGTATTTTTTTTGAAGATATTTTTATAAAACAGATACTAATGTATTTTAGGGCTGGTAGTAAACACCATATGAATGAAAAGGAAAATAAATTGTTAGGTTTTTTTTATCTACTACGGTTAATTATCTCCAAAATAGGGAAATTACAGGTTAATTTCATGGGTTATTGTTTCCTTTACCTAGTTTTCGTCAAGTCGATTCCGGTCATTTTTATTTTATGTATCAAATGTTGGGAGGTTGCTTGTTCACGTGAGCATAAATTTTTTAAACCCACCCCATGAAAGAAGTAGCTATTGGGCGTCAAACTTTGGGTGACGAAAAATGGGGAATTTAGACAGGCTTTGATATCCAGTCCGTATACAGATCTCGTTCGCCAGAATCGTCTGAAGTTAATATTGTGGTAACAGCACTGAGTCATCGATAAACTGTGTGAGTTTGGTCTTTCTGCTACGTATAGTAAAGGTGTAAGGACTTGCCAAAGTTGGCATTTGAGAAAAGACAGATTTTGGCAATTTCACCATATGAAAAATGTTTTTTACAATTTTCTCATACAGGAATTGAAAGATTTATCTAATATTGCACATTTATGTGTTTTGGGACTATCCCAACTTATAAACCAAATTTGGTCAAAATCTGTGATTGAAGCCTTAGCACCTTCTGCATGGTTTTCTCGCGGACACGCTCTTAATATGATACAATATTATATGATACATACTGTAGTCATCTGTATAGTAGTTAATATGATACAATATTATATGATACATGCTGTCGGCATATGTATAGTATGCACATGTATCAGGAATAAATATGCAAAGTTCCAAGAAGATACATTCAGATTTCCAGCATGTAGACCAAAAAAACCCCATAAAATTTGGGCGTGGCTCTGCTCTTGGTGTTCGGGACCAAAATCAATAGTTGCTGTTCTTAGGGTATAAGGAATACATATGTCAAGTTCCAAGATGATCCATTCAACATGTATCGATAGACTCAAGAATTCGTCATGGCTCTGTCCCAGGCGGTCAGACATGCTTAAAAACAAATAATACAGCCCTGTCCCTGTGCCCAAAACAATAGGGATCATCTTTAGGGCCTAAGGAATAAGTATGCAAAGTTTCAAGACGATGTAGAAAATACACAGACATGAGCTTAAAATAACCGTTGTATTTACCACGACGATTTACCAAATCGATTATGAATGTGATCTTGCAAAATAAATCTAACTCTGCAGACATAATGAGTTCCTTCAGATAAAAATATAACTACTTTCTTTCATGTGCAGACGGGAATGTCATTACTTTCCGTCATGTGTGCACGAAATGATTATGCTGTCAAGATTGTAACATTATGAGTTACTCGTGTTGGATAGACCCACAACCTATTTCATTATATAACTATCTTAAAATTGTTCCGGAAATGAACATGGGATAGTGAAAAGAGTCGGTTTTCTTTGAGCGATCTCACTTCACGCGATATACGCCGTCTGAAAAGGGCCTGTTTACCACACGAGTAGTGTTTTATTGATACATTATATCAATTTCTATTATCTATAAAGCTCAGATGTAAACATCAACAATTAATGAAAACATGGTGAGTTGATTTTTTGGATCCAAACTTACATGTGTCAGTGTCAGCAGTAGGGGTTTCAGGTCAAAGTTTTAAATGGCAGAAATTTTTTTTAAAAATATTTTGTAACAATATGCATTAAATGATACCCAAAATATTTTATTTCATCAAAATATTCTAATTACTGTCTGAACCGTTGTAAATTTTAAACAGATTTCTTTGATTGTGAACAAACCACTAAAGTAAAATCGGGGTTTATCTATGCCACTTAGATAGGGTTTAGGCCCGCCGGTTTCACCCACCTAGCATGTGATGGCCAGAGTAAGGGTTGAGGGGTTACAATAGACAGACAGACAGGTAACTATACACTAAGCAGCCACTAAACTAATAGCTACATGCAACAGATAAGCACATGCACTTCAGCCATAGATAGATATATAAATAAAGTGTCTACTCACTATACAAATCCAAATATAAATAAACCCTTTAACCACAAATCCAATAATAATCTTTGACAAGCTGTCTTGATCCACGTTATTAGCAATCCAAATATCTATGATCACACAGTTTAAACACACAAAGTAATCTCCTTGACTTCTTGGTAGCATCTAATGGCGAGTGAGAACCAACGCAGGACTTTATATAAAAAAAAACGCGCACGTGCATAAACTAATAAACGTCACAGATGGCTGGTCCATTCTGGCACAAGGGGAACCAGCTAACGTCTACAACACTACTGCATAATTGTTATTAAAAACTTGCCTATGTGTTTGAAATCACCTCCGGTTGAAGAAAATCCACTGCACAATTAAATAACCCAACCAAAACAAAAGTTCTCTCTTGAAAAGCCAATGTTTTTGTTTGTATTTTCGACAGTGTCCATCACAACATGTCACGTGATGAGCTAAACCATTATAATATGTTGAAGGGGGTACAGGTTGACAAATTTTGACAATCATGTGTCAAAATGAAACCAGGAATTTACAAAATAATTGTGTTACCGATCACGCACGATTATAAAATTCTAAACAGTTTTTGCGCACCGGAAATAATATTCAGAGAGAAATAGAAAGACATGGAACTATCTGCCGATAATTAAACCGATGTGCGGTATGATTAATTGTTGATAATAATTTTTGGTATTTATATAAAAAAAATAACGTTATATACCTATTCAATGATTCAATGGCCTCGGCTATTAATTTTGCCGAGGCAAATGTAATATACATCGGCATTTACCTCAGCTACAGCAGATTGCTGAGGTTTATTGACAGGATTGCTTAAGTTCATCAGGGAATATTAAAAATATTCAAGGGTGAGATTCAAGGTCAGTAAAACAAATGTAGTTCAAAAGAGATAATCCCACTGAACTCTCTAACCAAATAATTTATTTTTATAAGGCAGAAACAAAATACCGGACTACAGGCGTATTTGTGTTTGTAAACGCCCAAACTAATTACTGGGTCTGAGCAATAGCTTATTCATACACAAAATTTGAATTGTTGTAAAAGAGCCAAACACCGTTACGATAGACAATCCTTGCTTTGACCCCCTTATACGAAATGATCTATCCCGATAAGTGACGTAATTAGCTTCCATTTTGGTATATCTCGGTGTCAAAGTTTGTGATGAGTTCAATTTTACAAGAGAGAACTTTTTTATTCGCTGGGATATATAGTTGTACAATAATGGATTTTATATAACCGGAGTTTATAATAACCAAAGTAGAGTAGTTTGTTCATAATCGAAGAAATCTGTTTATAATTTACCACGGTTCAGGCTGTAGATCCAAAGTTATGGAATTTTAAAATCTGAGATCGACGTCAATAATGTGATCAAAATTCTCTATAACAGTCAATGCATGCCATGGTACCAAAATAAGTGCTTTTCAGTCATATCTGAGTGACGTCTTAAGCAGTATTTTCCCTTCAGAATTGCTAGTATCAATTTTAAAACTTAAATCCGCACGTTATAGTCAGCTAAGATTGATTTAAATCATAATAATTTGCATGATAATATGTGAAATATTTATAATCTGAATGATATCACAAAAAAGTAGGCTATATTTAGTTGAAATTTAGTAACTTTATATATTATAGGAAATTAAAGATGTTATAACTTCTATGTATCACAGGAAGCAAATGATGTTAAAAATTTATATATCACAGGAAGCTAATAATGTTATTACATTTATATATTACAGGAAGCTAATGGTGTTATAACTTTTATATATCACAGGAAGCTAATCGTGTCATAACTTTTATATATTACAGGAAACTAATGATGTTATAACATTTATATATTACAGGAAGCTAATCCTGTCATAACTTTTATATATTACAGGAAACTAATGATGTTATAACATTTCATCAGTGTACAAAATGTGATGAAATTTTTCAACATTTTTATGATTTAAAAAACCACTACAAAGTGCATGTTAAAGAAGAGAAAACTGATGATGTAGATGAATATTGTCATGTTAAAGAAGAGAAAACTGATGATGTAGGTGAATATTGTCATGTTAAAGAAGAGAAAACTGATGTTGTAGATGAATATCGTCATGTTAAACAAGAGATAACTGATGACGTAGATGAATATTATCATGTTAAAGAAGAGAAAACAGATGATGTAGATGAATATTGTCATGTTAAAGAAGAGAAAACTGATGATATAGATGAATATTGTCATGTTAAAGAAGAGAAAACTGATGATGTAGATGAATATTGTCATGTTAAAGAAGAGAAAACTGATGATGTAGATGAATATTGTCATGTTAAAGAAGAGAAAACTGATGATGTAGATGAATATTGTCATGTTAAAGAAGAGAAAACTGATGATGTAGATGAATATTGTCATATTAAAGAAGAGAAGACTGAAGACATTGAAACATGCTATCAGTGTAATTTGTGTCATGAAGAATTTAAATTAGAAACTGATTTAGAAAAACACTGTGAGGAACATGTTGAACTAGGGGAATGTGTTTTACAACAGGGTAATAATTGGGAGACCCGTTTTAGCCAGAATAATAACAAAAAAATACAAAATTCACAAGGGTATAAAAATTGTGATATTTGTAAAAAAACATTTAGTAACATATATTACCTTCATATTCATTTGATAAATCATAGAGAAGAAAAACATTATAAATGTGATATTTGTAGTAAATCATTCACATACAGGAGTCAACTTCGGAGACATATCAGAATTCATACTGGTGAAAAACCCTTTACATGCGATGTTTGTAGTAAATCATTCACTGTCAGTACCAATCTACAGAAACATGTCATAATTCATACTAGAGAAACACCATATAAATGTGATGTTTGTAGTAAATCATTTAATGTCAGTAGTAATCTTCAGCATCACATGAGAATTCATACTGGTGAAAAACCCTTTACATGCGATGTTTGTAGTAAATCATTTACTGTCAGTACCAATCTACAGAAACATGTCAGAATTCATACTGGTGAAAGGCCTTTTAAATGCGATGTTTGTAGTAAATCATTTACTAACAGTAGCGATCTACAGAGACATATCAGAATTCATACTGGTGAAAGGCCTTTTACGTGTGATGTTTGCAGTAAATCATTTACTAACCGTAGCGATCTACACAGACATATCAGAATTCATACTGGTGAAAAACTTTATAAATGTGATGTTTGTAGTAAATCATTTAATGTCAGTAGTAATCTTCAGCAACATATCAGAATTCATACTAAAGAAAGGCCTTATAAATGTGATGTTTGTAGTAAATCATTTACTAACCGTAGTCATCTTAAGAAACACATCCGAATACATACTGGAGAAAGGCCTTTTACGTGTGATGATTGTAGTAAATCATTTACTAACCGTAGCGATCTACACAGACATATGAGAATTCATACTGGTGAAAAACCCTTTACATGCAATGTTTGTAGTAAATCATTTAGTAACCGTAGCGATCTACAGAAACATATCGGAATTCATTCTGGTGAAAAAACATATAAATGTGATGTTTGTAGTAAATCATTCACCAGGAGTTGTTTACTGAAAAGTCACATGTCAGTGCATTCAAGCGAAAAACCATAATAAATTTACGGTGTAGTAAGAACTGTTGTCTTCAGTCACACCAGAAATCACACTGTAAATAGTAAAATAAAACTTTTATAAAATCTCAAGTTTTATGATTGTATGTATGTAGTTTGAATCTGACTCTCTGTGGTAAGGTTAATATGGTACAATATTATATGATACATGCTGTAGCCATCTGTATAGTAATTCAGGCTACGTAATGTTGTAATCATCAAATAGATACATTGAGCATTATTGTTTTTTATTCCTACATCTGGTTGGAACAAGGAGAGGTCAGCACGAAATAGAAAACAGTATTTTCATTAGGGCAGTTGAAATATATTACCATACTTTACGGGGTATAAGTTATATTTTACTTCTTTTCCAACCTCCATCCATATTTTAGTCAAAGCGCTATACAAGACCAATGTTTTTCAACTCCACGTTAGCAATCTATACAGTGTACGCCAAAAAAATTTGACCCATAATATTAATTTCGATAAAATAATCAGTTTATAAATATAGGACTAATTTGATTAATATCGGTTTATTTGAACCAGTTTTTATTTCAATATATTTGATAAATATAAGACAATGCAGGCCCTGTTTCTAATCACACATGTTTATAAAGTATGTTACTAAAAATAGAATAAAACAAAGCAGTATAGTATGATTGGTTAATTTAACTGGAAACTAAAAGTAGAAATCTCGTGAGATGTTTGAAATTACGAGAAATAGAAAGGTGCCAATTTTGATGAATGTCTGAGAAAAGATTTTATTTTTATGGCATATTGTCGGGTTAATGATAATATTTTGAAGGGGGAGGAGTGTATGTTTTTAAATAAAGAAAGAAATAAACAAGCTAAGAAATATTTTGATTGGAATGGTGTAACTTAAAGAAGTTTGGTTTTAGATGATAGTGCGTGCAGCATTGTGGAGGGAAGGTTACTGAAAATTTTCATGTGGACGTATATTGTCGTCGCCCCTGTCCGTCCATCTGTCCACATTTGTTTGTGGACACTACAATTGTACAATCAGGGGCCATAATCCATAAAGTTACAGTCTGATACATGCCAATATCGAAAGGAACCTAGATCTTGGGGAGATAAACCTATATTTCAAGTTTCAGTGAAATCGGATACCACGTATTAGACCATAGTTACTGAATTAGACCATAGTTACCACAACTTTGGTTCCATTTAAAAACCATACACACAGTTGCACCTATCCAACCTAATGAAGGCTCCGGATTCCTCCCATAGGAAAGACCCCTGCACATGCGATAAGATAATAAAAACAAGAGCAACGCTACCACTGCAATATACATCTACATTCCTGCTTTGATTGATATGGTGCTTTTTAAGGGCGGATGGCTCTATTTTGGGGGACCTTGAAATAGACAAATAGGGTTCTAAAAGCATATAATAATAATAATAATATGTCCATTTATAAAACGTGCTTATAATATTAATATATTAATGTAATATGAATGTATGTAAAGTGATTTCTATTCAATTTTTGAAAAACATATTGTAATTTCTAATCAAATATATTTGGTGAAATATCTGAACAGTTCAAATTAAACGACAGGTGCATTCTACTACATGTTTTTTAAATTATTTTGTCGTTTGTGAATCAGCCTTTACTAATTACTTCCACATTGTGTTGTAGGATATGTTTTATTTGTTCATTACAAAATGGCACCCGAGTCCCGAACCCATAGGGTACATGACTCGGTACTGATTATAAAATGTTAATTGTGTTTTAAATATTGGAAATTAGAATCCTATACATTGACAGCAAGATAACATCAATATTCATTGAAATTGATTAATATTGAATTCCAATTTGTGTTTTTAATTTTGAACATTATGTCATATTTTTAGTTAGAGACATAGCTCCTTTAAAATGAAGAGAATGAAATATGAATTGACTGTAATATGACAAGAGGTAAAGAAGGCTAGGCATTAGGTTTGTTTTGCCAAATTTACAGACTAAATATTAACAAAAATGTGGATGTGACACTGCTCTGGAGGCCAGGGCATGCAAAATTAAATAGTTGCTCTCCTTATGGTACACATTACACATGTATAAGGAATAAAATGCAAAGTTCCATGATGGTCCATTCAGATTCCCAGCCTGTAGACAAAAAAAACCTACAAAATTTGGGTGTGGCTCTAGATTTACACCTGTGACTCTGTCCCAGGTGGTTAGACATGCTTAAAAATAATACAGGTCATCCTTAGGGTATAAGAAAAAAGTATGAAAGGTTTTCAAGACTATTAGTTAAAGATACCTTATGTAAGATTTAGATAAAGAACTAGCCATTCCTGCTATAATAGTTCGAAAGTAGATGATGTAAAATGAATCATTTGAAAATTTCATTCAAAATACTCTATTGCAAGCGAAGATATTAGCCTTTGAAGGTTTGACAGACGTGTGCAATAATTTCAACCACCGTACTGGTTGATCGAAGCTAAGACTCGGTCCTCCATATTTGATTAAATCAAAGTATCGCTGAACCATTCTAATCTATTTAATATCGGAGAAATCTGATGCCATTGGGAGTTGATTAAGGCCTGGATCAGTTAATTGATGTCTAATTAATACTTTAGAAAACATTTCAGGCCTAAAGAAAGACCTGCAATAGGCAGATTTAGCTCTTGCATAACACATGTTTAAACATACATTATGCAAGAGCTAAATCTGCCTTTTGCAGGTCTTTCTTTAGGCCTGAAATGTTATCTAAATTATTAATTAGATATTTATTAACTTATCCAGACCATAATCAACTCTAGCTTGCAATATTTACTGGATTAGGATCCGTTTTGCTGCTCGACTTTCTTTCATGATTTAATCATGAAATGGATAATCGAGACACACCAAAAACAATAAGGATGATCCTTTGGGTATAAGGAATAAGTATGCAAAGTTTCAAGACGATCCGTTAAGAAATGGGGCCTGTAGACAACAACCAGAAAAATACAAAAAAATGGTTGCGGCTCTGTCCCTGGGGGTTGGAAATACACCAAAAACAATAGGGATCATCTCTAGGGTATAAGGAATAAGTATGTTAAGTTTCAAGACGATGTAGACGATACACAGACACACATACCGACAGCATAATACATGCACATGAATGTTGACGTTATATACTATTCAAAAAAAGTAGGGGATATTTGATTTTTAAGTGTTATTAAAGTCACCTAATGAAACTGACGAAGAAACAAATGACAAAATGAAATGAAGTTCACATTCATCGATTTATTCCAAATGATCGTTAGACTAAGTAAGGCACAGACTGACCATTATAAGGGTAAAATGATACCCGGGGTCAAACAGCAAAGTTACCACAGCATCACAACCAAGTCAGTAACGGGTAAATCCTCCTCTGTTTGCCAAACAAGCATTGATCCGACGTGGCATACTCCTAATGATACGTCTAAGGTCATTTTGGTCCAGATTGTCCCATTCCTGTTGCAACGCAGCAGCAAGTTCTTGGACATTGGCAGGACGTTGTTGACGTTGACGTAACCTCTGTCCAAGCATGTCCCAGACATGCTCGATGGGGGAGAGGTCGGGACTCAGTGCTGGCCAAGGTAATGTGGTGATGTTCTGTTGTTGGAGGTAACCTGTAACGATCCTGGCCCTGTGACATCTTGCGTTGTCATCCTGGAAGATGAAACGGCGGCCATGACGTCGTGCGAACGGCACAACATGGACTGCCAAGATGTTGTCCCGGTAGTACTGGCCTGTAACACGCCCTGCAACAACATGTAAAGCCGTTCTTCCAGCAACAGTGATGCCTCCCCACACCATAACAGAACCACCCCCAAATCGATCATGTCTGATGACGTTAACGTCTTGGAAGCGCTCGTTTGTCCAAAAAATCAACAGTGAACCTTGACTCATCTGAAAACATCACATTGCTCCAGCGTCGATTATCCCAGTGTTGACGATCCCTACACCAACGACGTATTGCCTGAATGTGATGATCTCTCAAACAAGGGATCACGCGAGGACGTCGGGCGCGAAGGTGACCCCTATGCAGTCGTCTGGCCACTCACTCTCACACCAGTGTCTGTTTGAAGACGAGCGCTGATCTGATTTGCTGTGATGACACGATTTCTCAAGGCCAAGGTACGGATAAATCGATCCTGGGCTTGAGTTGTCGCCCTTGGTCGACCTGAGCGTGGTCTGTCCTGTACAGATTGTGTATCACGGTATCTGGACCATAGCCTGCTTATGACAGACTGAGAAACATTCATCGTCCGCGCCACAACCGCCTGTGTTGTGCCGATCTGTAGCATGCCAAGGGCACGTAATCTTTCATTTTGGGTAAGCCGACGCATATCAAAATTTGTTTTCTGGTCACTAAAACAATTAAACTGATGTTTCCACCCTGGAATTCAATGCCACAATGACTGTAACATTCAAAGTCAGAGTCATGCAAATCTTGGGTTGGACCCCCATGATGATCCCAAGCATCACCTGCATTCCATGCGGTAGCTATTGGTGCGTTTGGGCGTCACATGTAACTGGAAATGTTTCTTCTGTTAGGTTCTATAGTGACTTTTTTCGTAGTCATTTGCATATTTTAGTATTATGCCCCCAAAATCAAATATCCCCTACTTTTTTTGAATAGTATATTAAACATACATTATTCAAGAGCTAAATCTGTCTATTGCAGGTCTTTCTTTAGGCCTTAATTGTTATCTAAATTATTAATTAGACATTAATGAACATATCCAGACCATAATCAACTCTAGATGGCATCCCAAGCCTGCGATCTTAAGTGGATTGTGAGCCGATTTACTGCATAACTTTCCTTCTCGATTAAACGATTAAATAGATAATCGAGGCTATGCTGTTTATCGTACTGACTTTAGTAATGATGACCGAGGCTAGGCAGAAATTTCATTCGCTTAATTGTCGGTTTATAGTGGATCAATTTGAATGAAATTTTCAGCAAATTGCCTTTACGTTATCTAGTTTTTAACTATTATAGCGAGAACTGCCATCTCTTTATCTAATCTCCCATAATGTATCTTTAAAGGAGCTAAATCGCTAATATTTGGGATCTAGAAATTGACCCAAATGGGTCGCA